AGAGAGACTTGAAAATTTGAAAATATATATTTAATATATAAAAATGCTTATCATTTACTATCGAGAAAACGACATGTCCCTTTTTTTTAGAACATCGAATTTTACTTATTGCATGAAAACGTACTTTACACAGTTCCTTCTTTTTATTCTTAAAGTAAAATGCATTTTTGAAAATAGGTGATGCATGTATCTGGTTTCAATTTATATTTTATGGAGCCAACATTTACTTAAGGAATTGATTAAGTTTAAAAGGGAATCGTTATTGTTCGATTTTCATCCGACTATGTTTTCAAAATACTCTTGACTATCGTCTCCCTCATTTAGACGCATGTCTTTTTTCACACACATCGAAGCGGTTTGATGATCAAGACTTATTTCCATTGTTTATTTATTACTTTATTTATTTCCCGGGCGACAATTGATGGTTACACCTGTTTTCTTGTTTTATGAAGAAATAAAATGTATTCCTAAAATCAGACTCAAAATACCTACTTTACGTCAAGAGGAAATTTATTATACGTTATTTCTGCCGTTATTGGAAATCGCGTCTCTAGTAGATATCCTATGAGTCTTAATCCAGCTCTAAAAATAAAAAACTTAATCGCCACTCCTCCCCATACTTTTGCCCCTGCCCAGGGGGTAAGTGTTCCCTGGAAAAAAATATATATATATTTATATGAAGTATATACCAAATATACCATGCATTTGATATTTAAAAAATGTTTTTTTACATTTTTTAATGAAAATGTTTCAACTTCTTTTAATAAAAAGTTAAATGCATAATAAATAATACGAGAAACAATCTAGCTCGCAGTTTTTAATATCACTACTAATTTTATTGTTAATGATACAATTTGTAGACTTGTATTCATCTTACGTACATTTGTCTTGAAACTATACAAAGAATACAAAGACCGACTTATATTCTATCTACATTCGTCTTGAAACTTTGTCTTGAAACTTAGAATATAAAGACCGACTTGTATTTTATTTACATTTATCTTGAAACTTACATTTGTAAAATAGAAAGACCGACGTATAATCTACTTACCTTTGCTTTGAAACTTAGAATACAAAGACCGACTTGAATTCTCAGGCCAATGGACGCTCCAGCTCCTAATTCTATAAAGACATTTACATATAATTAATACATGTATGAATTATTTTATTGTGACGATAGCATCTGCCTGTAACATACATATATGTTAAACAAGAAATGTTTTTTAAAACATTTCTCCCCCTATGAAGCAGTGTTAACTTTAATATAGAATAAATCTAACCAACCGTCAGGTGCGAATCAGTATACCTCTATTTTAAAATGGAGCATAATATAAATGACACTACTTATGTTTTTGTGGTCACAAACTTAAAAAAAATATCATACTACTTGTTAAAATTTCATTTAAAATTTGGACGCTCAATCCTCCATGGCACCTGATCCCATCTCTGATGTTTCGGAGGTCCGTGTTTGCTCTGCTCCTATTTTGTATTGTTTAATGGACTAATGAGCTTGAATACTGTACGTTATCTCCATATATTTCATAGTAAAATTAATTTCAATTTCACTTATTTATATAAATTATTATAATCTAAATCTAGTCATATTGAATTCAACATCTCAATAAGCTATTAATATACCCACCGTGCCATTTTTAAAAACGTATACAGTATCTGACACCATGAAAATATATAGTTCTATTAAAATATTTTAACATATTACCTTTTTTTTATCATTTCCTACTTGACTCCAATCATTATATACATATTTTTAAATGAAAAAAAAATGATTATAAGATTTTTTCTGAAAAAAAGTTACTTTTGATATTTGAGACTAAGATATCAATAGAACTAACCAAAATATAATGGAACAGGGCCAACCATGATCGGACCGATGTCCAAATCCAGAAACTCGAAGTCCTTTGTCGGAAATGGTATTTCTACATCTGCGCAGAAGTCTACCTTATTCTGGAACTCTTTGCCCATTATTTTCAAAAGAGTCCTTGGATCGTTTATCAACTTTAAAAACAGAAGAAAAAATAAATCAGTCATTATGAATTTCATTCTAAATAATCAATTATTTTCCTGACACAGGAAATTCAGTTTCAGATTCCTTTTTGATAAAACAATGTAGACACTACGTTTGCAGTATTCGTGAACAGATGCTGATCATCTCTTTAATTTTAAAGTAGCATTAGCTTTGTGTCTATAAAGGCCAAGCTTTGGCGGATTGATTTCATTCATATGGTTTTGAATAGCTTAATTTTTAATTTTAAAACAAAAAGAAAACTTACCTCGTCCATCATAGCTTCTCTTATGGTGTCAAGGATTTTAAGAATCTCTTTATCAAGAAGGTGATTTTCGGAAAGTTCTGCTATGAAATCTTGAACAGTTATGCTATCCATAGTCGGCAATACGAGGGTGTTTCCATCTCCTATGGTTTCAAATAAAATCAATATATATATTCAAATTTCCAAACGTATTCTTACGGTCCAAACTTTCGTGCTAAAAGTTTAATGATATTTACTATAAGTTTAGTTTTTCAAAAAATAAAATGTTTATTTGGTGAATGATGAATAGAATGCTTAAACATTTTGTTCCTATTTTTATTAAATTCTAAGATGAACAGAACCAAGAAAGAACTATTTCGTTTTTGACAAAACAATATTGTGATTGCTGACCTGAGTAACATGTCGTATCAACTTCGTAGTTCAATAGCACTGGTACAGTATGCAAGCAAGAAATAAAATCAGACACACAGAGTTCTGCAGAAAGGGAGATAATTGCAGTTGTCCAGTCAAATTTTACAGAAACAACTAAGTTTGCAGACATTAAGGTAGACACTTCCACTAAAGGAACCCTCTCCTCCATTTCAACACCTGAAATAAAAATAAATCTCTTTATTTTATCTCAACTATAATTCAATCATCAGAATGTCAAACGCAACAAGGTTTGCTTCGAATAAGGGCTAGGGCCAACAGCACATTATGATTCGAGGAAATAGAGGATACTTCAGAACCATGCATCTATCAGCCTCGCTCAATCGGTTTTCTACTTTCATTTGAGACTTCATTGTTTATACAATAAAACTTGTCTTATTCAGACACTAGTGGTTCTGCCCGCGTGGCGCAGTGGTTAAAGCGTCTGTTCTAGAGTCGCGAAGTAAGGAGTTGATACTCATGTCGCGATTTCGAATACCACTGTAGGACGCGGAGACCGTTCCTTCGGATGACACCGTATAAACCGAGGTCCCGTGTCGCAGTAGGTGCTGGCATGAAAAAGATCCCTCATGCTCAATGGCCGTGAGTGCTGAGTATAGGACAAAGTTTGTAGCTCTCTATCGGCAAGTGGTGGCGTCTCCATATAGGTGAAAAGTCCTCAAGAGGGGCGTTAACAATATACAATCAATCAATCACAACGGGTTCTGGAGAAGTCGGCCATATTAGACACATTCCGGAATTAGACAAGTTTTACTGTATCGAGTTTCGACCATATAAAAACATAAATTTCTTTCTTTCTATAGTTTCTTAATGCAGATATTCAGATATATAAAAAGTATTACCTACCATCTTGAAAATTTATTACAAAAGAAGTTGAGTGTGTTGTTACATTGATTTGTTTTAAACATCCGTTCATTTTGATGTCAGTGGTAACCATTAGTCTGTGATTAGCATGGGAAAGTAAAACAGCACAGGAAATTTCATTGCAACTTCGATGAACAAAACAGACATTTCCAGGGCCTTTTTGAAGTCTGTTGAGAAACATCGGGCAATCTATAGAAAAGATATATTTATCAAATATTTAAACCTATCTTTTAAAAAAAGCAATCTCTCAAATATCTCTAATCTTTGCACATATAGATATATAAATAAAACTTTACATTAAAAAAACAAATATCTATGTAATGTATGCCGAAATTTAATAATTATTTACAATATATATACCTTGGATTTATAAATAATATCAATTAATTTCTGACAATATCCTTTTATTCTCAAAGAAATTAAATTTATGAATTATTAATTTTTGTACACAAACCATTTTCAGTTCTTGAGAGAACCCTTGAAACCATGTTTGACTTGGATCCAGACGCGCTGCTGAACGAGGCCGATAATAAACTCCGAAGCTTTGACATCGATAATCCATCCAAGTTTTGAGCAGAAATGGACGATCGAAGTTGCATAAGTTTATCATAAACAATTTTCATTTCCGTTTCAACTTTATCTCCAAGTAATTCTTTGATTCTGCCAAGGGTATAAGCATTAACATTAACCAGATCGAGGAGGTTAGGTCCAGTCCTGAAATATAATAGGAATACACAATGTTACTGAAGATTATATATTTTTAGAAATAAAACCAGGTATTATATCTCTGTCCCCTAATTATGAAAAGAAATGTTGCATTGAAACGCCTGGACTTTTCTTATCACCAAATTAACAGAAAAGAACTAAAATGTAATAAATTATACATGGCCTGTTACTTAAATATAATGAAAATACATCACCTGTTACTTGAAAAATCAAACAGCTGTTTGGCTATGTCCTTAAAGTTTTTAACTAGACCCTTGAATCCGTCCTTGAACTTGTTCCACGCACCAACAGCCACAGGGTCATCAGGAGAAGCCACTTCGAACTCTGGAGGACGATAGTTAGGTTCTTCATCAGGAAATTCGTTCCCAATATCTTCAGCTCCTGAAAACGTCGCTCTTGAAATTTCTTCGTCTGTCTTGTCTAGGGTTTCCCCAACAGCATCAGCCGAAACAACGCTGAGAAAATTAATATAAGTGTAGTCCTTGCATTCCCAGATCCATTCTGGGGTGGGAAGCAGGTGATCCAGAAATGGAGATGGATCGATGTATTTATAATCAGAATCGGACATCTTTTCCGTTGATCTTTTCCGCACAGACACGTGGATAGAATTATAATCGCAAGGTGATTTGTCGGCTTTTCCAATGACATCTTTTCCCGCTGACAGAAACTCCCCCTCGGATGAGATGGACGACTTCGGAATTATACCTTCTATTACGATTTCAAATTCGATAAAATCTTCATCTGTAGGCAAGATTACCACTCTATTGTTTTCTTTAAAAACTTCGCCATTAACAGGACTTCGAATCTGCAAATGTTATTGAAAATTAAACTTTAAGAGAACCCAAGCTGAAGACGATTTACAAGGTAAATTTTCAAATGGTGGTTTCGTGTGATTAAAGCTTTTTTATATATACCGTACGTGTACATAATTTGGCGTATTCAAAATTTAGCGAAATCAATGGATATGGAGTTGTTGACGTGCTCATGAATTAGCGTCAAACATTTTCGTGCCGTATATTCTATTCAGAAATGAATTCTTAGCGGTATTCATGATTTAGCGCATCCTCGTCTGCGCGAAAGCCGCTAAAATATGAAGTCCGCTATTTCTAGTACACATACAGTAATTTTTTTTCCCTTTTCTCCTGTTTTCTTTGTTTTAACCATATCGAAATATATCATAATTTTATTGTGATGAAGTTAAAATTGATATCTTCCGTTGGTTTCATTTACTATTAAGTGATCAAAGTTGCATCTCAGTTATGCACAATTATATCATTGTGTATCTGGCTGTTTCAATATTTTCTAAATTATAATGATTAAAAAACTTTCAGATGCATAAGAAAGCATACGTCAGCTAAGTAACCAATTCGAACATCAACACCAAGTGTCTGATATCTTCCGTTGGTATTCGTAGGCCAAACCCCTACTCCACAAGTAGAATCCTCATTTCTCCGCCGCTTGGGAAATTTTATGTGGAATTTGGAACCGAATATCTTTTGTATAATATTTTTTGTCTTTATGAACCTATAATAAATGATGCATTTGTTATTTCAGAAACAAAGGGGAAAGAAGTAAAGTGATTTTTTTCAGACAAAATGTTAATTGTATACGTCTTACATATCTCTGACTGTAGTATATCCAGACTTGATTGCTTTGACGGCATTCAATACAGAGTTGAAAGCATTGAAAAAGGGAGAAACTAATTCGCCCAAAGTGTCCTGAAACTGAGTTGTTATGTCCCCAAAGGACTTCTTGATAGCCTCAATAAATATATTGGTTTGCTCTCTCTGCAAAACAGTTCATGGCATATTTTTATGTTTTTTTTAATTGACTTCAGATTACGGAAAAAATGTATATAATCAACATTTAGATAAAGCGATTTGAAATAATTACAAATAACTCAGTAATAACGGTAACAGAAATCAAACGAGGATAGTTATTTTTATCCAAATGAAAATCCTGTATTTTATTTGATGTTTATTAGTATTGTCTTATTTTCGTGAATTTTGTTTTATAAAATATGGCATGAAACATTGTGTTTATGTAACTTCGATAAAGAGATCACCACTGAATGATTCACTTTTTAAACTGATTGTTCACCTGCCTTAAACATGAGTGCATTATCCAAAGAAAAACATACAATTAATTAACATTTCACATTACCGTCATTGACACCCCGTCCGTTAGTGCCGTGGAAAGTTCATCCTCGAACTCTTCGGTGGAAGGACTCTCCTTCTTGTCAAAAAGAAGTCCAAAAAGGTCTTTGACATCTCCTAAAATCTCCTTAAAATCTTCCCAGTAGTCCACCCAAAATGGTGTACCGCCTAAATTAAGAAAAAGGTCGGTAATAAGGACGACATCATAATTATGCGTTTTCGAAAAAAAGGGACAGAGGTGAGAAAAAGCTACTTGTATACTCATATTCTTTCATGAATTTCCGTTTGTTCAGAGAAGTTACATGCGTTCCATTTTTTTTTTATTAAAGTGATTTATATTGGAACACAAAAATGTGATTTCTTCTTTTACCAAGTTTTCTTTCTTTACTCATTGCTAATAAGCAAACGTTACCTTTCAGAAATGACAAACTCTCTACAACTTTGTTTTTTACGTCTAGAAACATTCCAATAGCAAGCTTAATGCTGCAAAGAAAAGTGAACTTACTCTGACAATCTATTTATTAATTACATGTAATTAAATCCCTAGCATCCAATTATTAGAAACAAATGTGAACAATATAAATTAAATAACTACATGTAATATCCAAACTAACTCTAGTACAGATTTTCCAAACACCGTGACAGACTGTACGGGATTTGACAAGAAGTTCTTCAGAGCTGACACTATTGATGCAACAGAGTCAAACAACTTTTTGGCAACATAGGGAAGTGTCACTGTGATAGCATCGGCAATCGTCTACAATGATGAGAGAAAATTTCAATTTATTTCAATAATACAGACTTATCTCAATGATAAATATTTGAAATAATTAGAAATTACTTAAAACAGAATCTTCATGAAAATATAGTTATTATCCTCCACAACAGAGTTAGAAGGGGAAATGTGATGTGCTTGTGTGTGCGCGTTTGTGCAAGTGAGTAAAGTATGTGTTATTTTGTTCTTTGCGAAACGGAAGTGAAGTAATTTTCAGCGGGATTGAAATCGAATGCTATCTAGACTTATACGAGGGTTGTCCCGTAAAATCGTGGACAAGTTGTCTAGTGTAAAAAATAAACATCACAGCTTTCTTAGATTTTCACTATTATTTAGTACATATTTTAGTAATATACACAACAAATTACAGATAAATGTATGGATAAATAAACAAATTATAAGATTTTATGCCATGTATTGTATCACCTTACGGCGCATGGATTACAACGTCAAAATGTCTAAAACAGCGTCACGTTTTATCTTTGCTAAAAATGAAATTGGATGAGTCCGACTTAAATTTAGGAATTTCATTGATACACATTCTTTAGTCTCCATAAACAGTCGAAGAACCAGTTGGCACCCTCATGCGATCTTCTGAAGATTTATCAGTAAGTTACGGACAATATTCTCACCATCATTCAACTAATAGAAAATCTCATATCGGCGGTCTACTGTGACAGCGTCTTTTGCTATTACATTAAGAGTTTGTCCGTATGTTTTGTACCCCCCACGGACTCGATCAAAAAAGACTTTGCTTAGAAAACTCCTATTCCATTTGTATAGTTAAGTTATGGTGATATTTTTATAATCTTTTTTTTCTTCTATGGTCATTCCAAGTCTCTAAATGTGTCATTACAACATCGAATTAAAACGGAACTGCTCTCCGGTGCGCCGTAACGTCATAAAACGTCGCCATTTTTCGTGTGTTGTGTTTACCACTTTCCCATTTCGAATGCTCAAAAACTGCCAAAAATGAAGCAAATGCCTTAAAATTTTTACAGAGACTACAAAATTGATTGTGGAATTCAATTAGGATAATTTTAATCCAAATCTTAAGTATTTAAAACTTTTATTTTGAATTCAAACTTGTGTATTCTTTAATAAAACCTTCGCTTTTTGTCAGTGCGCCGTAGGACAATACCCCGTGCACATTCAATCATAATAAAATCTTTATTAACATCAAGAATACACGCATTTTGCCTATATTTTATCAAAAAAATTAGCATGCACTTAAATATGATAAATAAACATTTACTGAAATTTATCATCTTAGTATTACTTTTCGAGAAAAACGCTTTGTCCACGATTTTATGGGACAACCCTCGTAGATTTGCTTCTTGCGAGGTGATGCTGTATTTTGCTGTGTCCGTGTTTAGATGAAAATATATTCATGTGAAAAATCCACGTAATGTGTGTATCATCAAAATAATGATTTTTCGTTATAAAATACCCTTTTTTGAGATATGAGATTTTACTATTTTTTCTCAAAGCGCACAAAAAATCAAGTCCTTACACTATAAAACTCTGTAAGGTCCTCCTTCACATCTTCCACAAAATATCTGGCTTTGATAATTATCTTCTTAATTTGGTCAATCCATGGAACACCTCCGTACTCAATGACCTTCATGACAGCTTTGATGACATTTTGAATGATGTTTTCTAAAATAAGGGGAAAGTTTTTGACCAGCTCAATAATCTTGTTGACAATATAGTCAACACCCTTGTCAAATAACTGAATGATGTCTTTGAAAGCCTTGATGGCGTCCTTTACAGGGTCAACCACTGTTTTCACGATTCTGTCGAATATCGTTGCCAAATCCTGTATGCCATTCACTCCAAAGTCCTGTAATTAAAATAAGAAGAAAATACTCCATATTTATGCGTATTTTTGCACTCAATTGATTTAAAATTTTAAAAATTTCAAGAAAGTCCCGTTGATATCAACACTCCTTTTACTACATAGGTTCATTAGTAATAAATAAGAATACCTTTAGTATGTTGATATCATATCCTGCATGTCCTCTGTAGCAGGCGTGAGCTCGGAAGAGATATTGTTCTATTCCAAGCCAACCAACCATAACTTTAGCGTATGCATCATCATAAACATTCAACATGGCGTGGCCGCTGAGTGGTTCTGAATCAAAACGAAGGAAAATAAATGATGAATTTTTCTCTAGATGTAATGTCTTTACTCTCAGATAAACACAGGAGTCAAAAAACATGAATATTGCATAATTTTATTTTCATACTTCTGTTCGGTTATTCCAAAAATAATTAATTTTTTACTGCAATGAAATCGTAGTTTACCAGTATGGTTTTTTTTTTACATTTTGTACTTTAACCTTATGCTTAGAGATTTAGATAAAGTAACATATTACATACTTATTTCTATTTCAAGTTCATTTGTCAAAATAAGCCCAATTCCTGCTCCTAGGGCACTATTTCCCATCTGTTTACTCCATTGTATCCCCGGAAGTCTCATTGCAAAGAAGAAGCCATCTTTGAACTTAACATCAAGAATACCTCTTTTCACACGCATCAAAGTTTGGTATGAGTAGTTTCGGCTGCAACAAAGTTAACATACATGTACCGGATTCAAATATTCATTAAAAGATTATGACATTAATATATCTAAATAGAAATATTTATGCATTTTCCTTCTTTATGGTATTCAATTATATATAAGAACTTTTGTTTCTCCTTTCTTTAGAGGCTGCGCATGCGCTTTTTAGACCATTCATATTCATAGAAAAACTGTATATTAAACGATTCCAATAAAAATGAAGATCTCAAGATTTCATAGACATGTTTATATATGAAAATGATGAAGTGTTAAATGATATATTGCAAAATGTTCCTTTTTAGCTTTCAAAGAGAGGGGAAAGTTGACTGAGGATTTAATACGTGATAAATGATAAGCATAATTTATATGTTTCCACAATGTATATGCCTGATCTGAAATTGTAAATTTAACATTTCAAAAAATATGACTGTACTTTGGCCCGGTGGCCTGTAATACTCAATTCAATAAATGCATGTATCTATCTACATATCATAGACATGTACGCAAAAATCACTTAAATGTGTTTATCAAAAAGTCCTATACATACCTTAAAATGATATCTCGATGTTGCGGAAGGCTTCTTTTCGATAAAGGGTGTTTCTCAAAGTATTCCATCGCTTGCTGTCTAACCAGGGAAGATTCATCGTTGACAAGAAGATCAAGCAAAGCAACGGAACTCTATTGATAATAAAAAGAAAAATTAAATATTCAACAACCATGTCTTTGCACCTTCATTTTCATGGTCTCCAAAACTTCTTATCCCTGAACTTTAAGAATGAAATATTATGGTAACAAACAGTAATCGAGCTCAAAAGTTTACAAAGTTCATTGAACTTGGAATTTGGAGCAGAGACCTCTTATTTTTTCAGAGGCGGGATCACATGCCATGGAGAAGTATACAATTCCTCTCATCAATTGGCCACGCCAACCGGAGAATTCCTTATAATAATCAGGCCCATGGATCTTGAAACACACTTAGACTTAAGTCAAAATTTTTCATAATCTAGAAAATGTTTAATAATGTTTCAAACTTGTTAAAAGAAACTCTCAATTTCCATATAACAGCAGATTGATTAAACAAAATTGGAAAGAATTTCATTTTGTGATTTAAGCTTAAGATCCTCAATTATTCATGAACCTGGGGCCAGGTAGACAACCGGGGGTAAATAATACCTCTGTGCAGCTGAAATGTCTCATTCCTATAATAGCAGCCCTCCTCCAACTGTTGTCTCCCTCCCCGGGCCTCATGTACGTCAAGAGGTAGTCCCTGGCCTGTCCCGAATTTCCTGAGGCGTGGATTAACACCATTTTGGAGTACGTGTAATTATGGACTTCACCATCAAATTTGTCCACTGGGCGACGTGATCTTCTTTTGTTGTACATTTCTTTATAATGCGCTGGAGTAAATGATATAATATTAAAACAGAACATGACAATAAAAGAGAAAATCATAATGCACACGAAAAATAAAAATATATTTCGATTAAGGTGTTACTTGCACTGACTTAACAATTTTTATTTCATTTGGATTTCTATATTACAGTGTAAGTAATTTTCTATTTATGATTCAATATGTAAAATATTTTCCATCTCAAACAGAGCAGATTTGATTTTTCAGAAAAGTATCTACAAAAATTTATGAAATGCCAGCATTAACATTTGGTTTAACGTTGAACTTCCTTACTCTGATTATGTGGAGTCAGCCATTTCTGAAGAGAATCCAGTAAATGGTCAGTCTTCTCGTCGTGCTCAGAATTGTTTCGAAATATTCTTATCAATGTTCCAAGTGCCAAGCAAGCATGTTTGTGGGTTTTTGTCATGGCAATTAATCCTTCAAAGATAATAAATTTCAACTGAAATTAAAATTACTATCAACCTAACAACCTCTATAAATTTTCAAGTCCTTTAAGACATTAAATTATGATCGTATTATATTTTTTTCTCTAGTTTATGCAATTGTCCAAACTGTAACTGATCAGAAGACATAAATTTATTGAAAGACCTCCGTTAATTGTTTAAATGAACCAGACTTTAAATGAAGATTCAGTATATACCTATATTGGCATGATCTGGACCAAGACATAAATCTTCCACGGCTTCTAACAAGGCCTGTAGGTATTACAAAACAAATGCTCAATTCTTAAGGACCAATTTCGAAAAACAATCGGGATTTTTCAATAAAATATAAAAACATTAAAGATCGGAATAAGCATAAACGAAAATTACCAGTGTGGGATTTTTCATGTCAGCTAAATGGAAAAATATTCGACAAATGGTCGTTTCATTGGCACCCTTCTTTTTCAAGAAATATCGGATAATCAGATTTTGTGTGGCATTGCGTCCCTCTTTGAATAAAAGATCAATGAATAAATTTTGTCTACTGGAGCAGTTTGTGTCATTTGATTGGCATTCCCTGGAGAACTCGCGTGTAGCTAGTTTTACATAATCCTCCTCTGGAAGGCGATTCACTATCTGCACCAGGTCCGCAAAGCAATCAGATCTGTTGCTATTGACTAGAACGATAAAAAAACAGCAAAATAGACTCATAACGAACAAGCTTATAATGAATTCCGTTTATAACGAAGTCATTTTTTGTATATCTTTAATATATTGTGAACTTGACGGATATAACGAATTATGTTCATAACGAAGTGAATTCGTCCATCCTTGGCACTTAGTTCTTAACGTGTTTTACTGTAGTTTGATTGTAAGACAAACTTGCTTAAATTATTAATATAAATTTTTAGGTTATTGCTTTATTTACCTTCATCTTTGTTAGCCTGAATACATGCTACATTTAATTCAATCTTGTTATTAACTTCTGATAAATCAGTGGTTTTTGGCTTCTCCTGTAAATAAAACATAAAAGTGAAATTTTATTAAAAAAATGATCTTTACTTTTAAAATCGAAATTTGATTCTAAAAAGTGTATTACCTTTTTAACAACAATGCTGTCATGAACTTTCAAATACTTGTTCAAGGGCGATAAAGCGTCAACTTTATTCAGTTTTCTGTAAATCAATTTAGCAAAAGATGCATTATGGTCACTTCAAATTAAGTAAACAAAGTATTATTTGGTTTTGAAAGAAAGATCATTAATACTTACAGTGTAGCTATTGATAAGTTATATTTTTAATTTTTTTACATTCTTTAGTACTTTACAGATATAGAAAAATGGAAAATGTTCCTAAATGAATGTAAGTTTTCGGAATTTATAAAAGTACTCACATTTTGCTGACAAGTTTAACTTCAGTTGTTGTATTCGATTCGATGTCTTTCACTTCTAAAAATCAAGATAAGGCAAAATATAATGGTTGAATTGATTACAAAGGTCACCATAATTATATTTTTATTATCATCAAATTGTCATGTACATGGACCTTTAACTTTTTAAACTGTATCCTAAAATTTTTGTTCATATAAACTGGTCTTAAATATGAAGTACATATAATGGCCATACCGAAGAATGAAATGGTTAAGAGTAGGGCAAGTACATGTTTATGGTCCCTGAAAAACATCTGATTTAAGATCAGATGCCATTAAGGAGTAAGCATCCTCTGTTGATGGGACAAACTCGCCTTGAACCGTTTGTCATAATAAGGTGAATGGAGTAGTTCATGGACATTTTAGTAGTAGAAACGATATACGATATACTACCTCCAGTCTTTACTTCTCTGATTTCTTTATCGCTAGGATCAGAGTGGCTGTAAATAAATATAATAAACCAATATTTTGGTCGATAAACTGATTTCTGAACCCTCGAACTGTCTTTATGATTTGTTATTTTATGCACTTCAATTGTAATAAAAAGAAAAGAAAAAAATTTAACAATTCATTTTTTAGATAAACAATAAAGATTGAATTTATTTTTCGTTGAGTGTTTCTCGAACTGAGGTTATGAATAAAAAAATACCTTGTTACCGGCACTTTATTTTTGTTCTGAAGAATAACTTTATCATCTGTGCGAACAAATTCAATGACCCCACCATGACTGTAGTGTAATGTCTAAGAAATAAATCATATCGTGCCGCCAAAAAAAGTTATATTTGATAAATAAAATCATACATATGCCTAATCATCATTATACTGTACAATATTTATACTGGATCATTAACAAAAAAAAATAAAGATGAATTCAATTATTTCAAGACCTTCATTGAAACCCATATGCAAAAAGATACTTAAAAGCTTTATGTTTGAGCTATATCAAAAAAGAATAAGGAAAATGATTTCACTCATTAATTTCAACAGATACTGAAATTTTCATTACCTTAGCATGTTTTCTATAGATTCTGTCTGTGCTCTCGTGAAATTTACTAACTCTATAACCAGAGGTTGTGCTCTGAATGTCGTACTTATGTGGCAAATAACCTGAAAAAATACTCAGTTAAATTAAATACTAGTTTAATTATCTTGCTTTTCTATCAAAAGCATTTACTTTTCAAAATTTTAGATATTTACTTGATAAAAACAAATAGCTAAAAAAATTATATACATGCAGCCATTGATTCCTGGTGGTTTGTGAGACAAAATATTTTAATAGTATCATGTGCCTTTAAAAAGGGAAATTAACTATGAAACCTATACCAGTAATGTAATTTAGCTTTCATTATCTGGATAAAGTTAATTTTTTGTCACGAAAAATGCTTTGCATCTAAAGAATAATTTAATGCTTGTGGGTGATGTTTCTTTTTTTCCCTCATTTTTAAACAGAAAAGTTCAATTTCATCATATCTTAATTACCTGAATGGTCATGTTCCCAGTTGTAAAACGTCCGCTTGTTTTTAAGACCAAGCTACAATAAAAATAGACAGCAGGGTTTTTTATAAGTACACTTATACTTAAAGAAAGACTTAGTCTTTTATAATAATATCGAGTAGAAAAAAGAATTCTAAGAACAAGGCGACTCCCTGGTCTTTGATTAGTTAAGTCTGTAGACAATGCTTTAATACCTTTTTCGGTAATTTATATCTACGTGTATAGAATTTTTCAGGCATGAGATAACTATATTTTTCTTTATTTCAAAAGATTTTATTGACCTGTCATATATGAAGAGTTTTGGTTCTATCAATTTGCAGACGACTACAGTTCTTAGTAAACAGACATTAAAGGACACATTTTATAACCAATTCTTTGACACCAATATAAATTTTGCTTTGATTGCTGAAACTTGTTTGACATGCACTTATGCTACGCAAAGACAACTGTCCGTAAACAATGGTATTTTTAAGGTGCTTGATCAAGCAATAAAACATTTTCTGTAGATTTAAATGGCGCAATGACTATATTGTTAAGGTACACTAAATTTCTAGCAATAGCTATAAGAAACAAGGTTTTGAATGCTTACAGTTATTACTGTCAAGGAAAAAAACAGTGTCAAATCTTCAAATATTATATCAATTAACCGAATAAGTTAACTTAATTTTAAGTTCACCTGGTGTCAATTACTTCAAAATGTGAATAAGGAAAATTCTCAGTATGATTTTTCAATGTTAAAGATCAGATCTAAAATTAAGAGATAATTAAATCTATGATACGCTAAAATATTGAAATGTAAAACTAATTTAGAAATGTTTATCAAAATTACATCACCGAAGCACTGTTTTGTGAAATATTTACTTTCATTTCACAGCTAAAAATGAAACTGATGATTGAAATATTAATCTAAGTCTTAGCTTTTTTCAAGATCCCGTTTCCCGTGAAGTTTACTGTTAAGGTATATAAACACAAATTTATAAAATGAAATACAGTATGTAGAGATAACGTACAGAATTAGAGCTAAAGAGTCCATTTCACATATGATTGCAAAATAGGAGCGGAGCAAACATAGACCTCTAAAACATCAGAAATGGGATAAGGTGCCATGTATTAACAAACCTTTCCTTTCGCTGATAGCACGCTGGCAAGAACCTTCTTTAGGTTCAATACGTCATTCTTCTCTTCGTGATGGTGTGCTATTTCCTTAATTAACCCGTCTTCTGATACATGGAACTCGAATCTGAATTATATTTGTAAAAAAAAAATAATATTATATAATTTGAAGTAGGTTTGTAATTTAAAAAAAAAGGATCACAAACATTGATTTTATTATTTACATGAATAATTATAAAATAAAAAATTTGGACGCCGGGTCTTTAATTGTTAACTTATGCATTGTATTCAGAAATTATTTTTTTCAGATTTGTCAGAGAGCTAGTATACATGTATAAAAAAAATTATTTTAAAACTATAACTGTGTCTAAAGCTTTAAATATTTATTCTCAAAAATGTACTTGACTTGACTTCAATTACACTTTTTTTATGTTTCCATTATGTACAATTTACGAACCCATAATAATTGTGCATTTGTGTATAGAAATCAAGAAATACTTTGTTAAATGGAATATCTTTTATGCTTCAAACTTCAAATATTACACAAAAATTGATGTTAAATATATGAATAATATTGTTTAATAAAGATTTATATGTACCCATTGTCGAAGTTCCATCCCACAGGATTGGTCTTGGCTAAATGATAATAAAAAAATTATATTTGAATTTCAAACAAATTTTCATTGTCTTAAATCCAATTAAAATTCGTTTTTAGAAATATTTTTGATTCCTTCTCTTCTCTATAATTCAAAACAAACTTCATAAACATGTAACATTTATGATCCACTTAAGATGGAGCTTACTTTTCCCGCCCGCTGACTGGGTAAAACTGTCCACATGAAGTTGACACAGTAGTGAGTTGTTCCCTTTCTCCACTGGTCTTACGCGGAACTGTCAGTTCAAACAAAAATTATTACATTTGATTTCTTATACACTTAAAAACATAGACATATAACTCTCTCTCTCTTTCGCTCACTTCCTCTCTCTCTATGGGACGTGGAGACCGGTCCTTCGGATGAGATGGTTTAAACCGAGGTCCCGTGTAGCAGTAGGTGTTGGCACGAAGAAGATCCCTCACTGCTCAATGACCGTAAGTGCCGAGTATAGGACAAAATTTGCAGCTCTCAACCAGCGTCTCCATAGGAGTGAAAAATTCTCGAGAGGGACGTTAAACAAATTTTCAAACAAATAACAACATGCTACAGTACTACACTGTGCATTTGAGGACTCGCGTATAAACAGTCCTTTCTGTATTTATTTTTCTTCCTATGTGTATTTTAATCATCATGGTTAATATTTTTTTTAATTTATGATATATAAATTTTTCGTTTTAGAATTAAAATATTACGGGTCATGATTTCCCCAACCTTGTTGTCTTCCTCAATCATCGTATTTATAATATTTTTTTTTATTTCAACTTTGATTTGCAATGTGTAAGTAACTCAAGTAGCATTTTTATTTTCCTTGATTATTGAATACTGTTCGTTATCTCCATATCCCTCTTTCATCATATTTCTTTCCTCCCTAGAGTTTACTTGTATGCAAATAAATTTATTTACATAAATGTTTATCAAGTATCCCACATACTTCAGCTGTTTTTATCTTAATTCAAAATGAGATGTTTTATTTTGTTTGCTTTCAAAATAAGGGTTTAAAATATTTCTTGCTTTTTATCTATGGCTTAAGTTATTGTCTTTTTAAGAGAACAGGTAGATTTTAATTGATAAATTAAAACTTTACCTATAAATTTTTAGAAATAAAGTAGATTTGTAATGTTCGTTATTTCTTAATGGACATTGACATGAAAATTGACAAAGAAGCAGCAGAGCATTCCTATATTAATTTCATAAGTTAAAAAGAATTTTTTTTTAAATTAACTCCCAAGCAATTGCACCAAAGTTCACACTTGCTCCTCTAATATAACACTCAGTATGGAAATTTGTCTGTAAATCAATTTTAAATTCGTATACCAGTATGTTATTAAAAGTCTACTTTCATTTTCGATTAAAACAGACATGTACACAAAACAATAGAACAACAGAAATAAAATTTTTTTAAAAAAAATTGTTGTGGTTACGGTTTGCGGAACCACTTTTTTTTTTAATTCATTAAAAAGATCGTTTCAATGAAGTTAAAATAAATATTCAACTGCAACTTTTACCCTATCACTTTCTTGAAATTTTCTGCTAAAGGATTCGTAAAGCCAAAGGTATTGTATCAGTATTTCTGCAGCCAATTTAGTTTACAATCATATTATAAATCGATGAAGTTACACAATCTATACAATTCTGTACACATGCTATTTCAAGATCTTAAACACTAATTCGATAATTTTGTAATCAACCTTTATTTCAAAAGAAAACAAAATTGGATTTTGCTATATACAGGCATCTTTCCTTTTAAATATAAAAAAAAATTATGAACAAGGAAATTTTCAAACCAATTTAAAGGAATAAATGAATACTAACAATACTTCGTTTACATAAATGTTGTTTGAATTTATAATTTTTCCTTAACGATTTCTATATTACATCCCGTTTTTAGCTCACCTGAGCCAAAGGCTCAAGTGAGCTTTTCTGATCAAAATTTGTCCGTCGTCTGTCGTTGTCGTTGTCGTCATTGTCGTTGTTGTTGTCGTTGTTGTCGTAAACTTTTCACATTTTCATCTTCTTCTCAAGAATCACTGGGCCGATTTCAACCAAACTTGGCACAAAGTATCCTTGGCTGAAGGGGATTCAAGTTTGTTCAAATGAAGGGCCACGCCCTTTTCCAAGGGGAGATAATCATAAATTTGTTAAAAATTAATGGCATTTTTAAAAAATCTTCTTCTCCAGAACCGCTTTTGGAAAGATGAAACTCATGTGGAAGCACGCTAGTGTAGATTCAAGTTTGTTCAAATCAAAAATAAAATGGCGAAGTTTTACATAGGAATATATAAAATTTTTTTTAAACATTAGTAACTAGGACAGGAAAGATGAAACTCATGTGAAAACTTAGTGTAGATTCATTTTGTTCAGTCCAAAATGGCCAACCCAAATTTTACATAGGAATATATAGGAAAAATTTTAAAAATCTTCTTCTCCAGATAACTGGGCCAGGAAAGATGAAACTCATGTGGAAGCATCCTCAGGTAGTTCTTCAAGTTTGTTCACATACCCCCCGAGGTAAGGCAGGGGCCAAAATGGCTGACCCAAGTTTTACATAGGAATATATAGGAAAAATCTTTAAAAATCTTCTTCTCCAGAACCACTGGGCCAGGAAAGATGAAACTCATGTGGAAGCATTCTAGTGTATTTTTGTTCAAATCAAACCCCCGGGGCAAGGGTCGGGCCAAAATGGCTGACCCAAGTTTTACATAGGAATATATAGGAAAAATTCACTGTCCACTGGGCCAGGAAAGATGTCATGTGGAATCATTTATATTAGATAGTTTTAAAATAATTTTTAATTTTACAGATATATAAAACCTTTTAAATCTTCTTTTCAAGATTCAAATGATTAGTGATATTTATATGGAATCATCCTCAGGTAGTGCAGATTCTAGTTTGTTCAAATGATGAACGCCTGGCTCTCCCGATGTGCTCAGGTGAGCGCTGTGGCCCCTGGGCCTCTTTGATTATATTAGCGGTCATATTTTAGGACTTAAATTTTCGGGTTCATTCATCTTTCACATTTATAATTATCTTCCCTTTCGAAAAAACAAATAATACAAAACAGAATTTTACAATATTCCACACTCCGTTTAGTATTAGAAATATGTGTAATAAACACAGGTAAATATACAGAATTATTCAAAAGAATAAGTCGTTCTTGTGCTATTTTTTTTAAAATTATTAATATTACAGGCAAATCATTTTTATTTAGTCCTTAGCCATATTTTCAAAAATAACTAATTTGCTTCAAAATTATATAAGAAACTCTTGTTACTAAGGCTTTATTAGGGACAAGTTTTCGTTTCCCAGGTATAATTTGTAATATAATGTATACTCAAATTATTTAGTCATCAGGAATTATTCTGGAAAGTCGCCAAAATATTATGTTGTCTTGGATAGGGAAGTTAAATTAATGATTTTTATGGTACTATTTAGAAAAAAGTGCAAGTATTTCATAATGAAAATACTCAATCGTGAAACTTATGTTACAATACTTGGAAAGGGTTGGTTTTGAAAGGGAAATTCCCTTTTCAAAAACCTTTAAACCTCAAAATCTCGTCTTGGCCAGTGCTCGCATTTAAAGAAGGCCCTAGTAAATAATTATCTGCCTAGACTTGCAAAAGGATACATTCTTTAGAGGGGAGATTTAAACGCAATAAACGTTGCACGATGTGCTTTGTTAATAAAATAACCTATTAATTTAACGTTGTTAAGAATATTTTTGCATTTCTCTGTACATTTGAATTTCCCCTTTTTTATCAAAATATTGCATATAAAGTAGTAATTAAATAAAGGTATCAACGAATATATATATACAAAAAACATCCCAAGAGAGAATGATCGAGTTTGTTTGTTCGCGGAATTTGATATAAAAACAAATTTAAATATACTTGTACTGCTGCTGGTTTTTGTAAAATAACAAATTCAAAATCATGCATACGTAACTAAAATCGCGTCCATCAATAAAATGATATTGGAAGATTTCCATAAATAGCTTATCTTCTGCAATAGTGCTCTAATTTTAAAACAATAAACACTTTAAAAAATTATACTGAACAATTCAGACAAGAGTAAATAAAATCAAAAATAAAATTTGTATTTTTTTTCCAAAAACTTTCATAAACACACACATATTCGCAAAAAGCATAAAATGATTATAAAATAGAAAAAGAAAGTAATTTCGTTTAAATATAGATATGATGAATAAAAGGTATGTTCAAAATTATATAAAAAGTTAACTTAAATATTAGGGGTTTATACCTTAGAATTTACAAAACAAAGATTCCTTGAGAGAAAGAAATCTTTAAAAATGTGTTACCTTAACGATGGTAGCAACTCTGAAATCGCCCAAAACCACTGATTCAGCCTTATAGTTGTAGTGGTATTCGTATCCAATGTCATAATTATAACCGTCAATGCTTCCAAATAGACAAATTAATAAAATACTGCCCCAAATAATTAAACTTTTACTGATTGGAGCCATCATACCTTCATGAGCACGGACGACTCATGTTAAAGCGCTTGTACGTCTATTTGGAATCCAACATATATATACTATTAGATATTTCTTTCGGACAAGGAAGTAAAAATAGGTGGTAATGTTTTTGAGAACCGGTCTCTTGGACTTCTGTTCAGAGTTTAAAAGCCGATTATTGTCTCTTTAAATTTAACAGTTCTACTGAATTGGTAAAGAAATATGTTTTCCAAATCTTCAAGGCAGGAAGTTTAAAAAGAAAAATCTATGTGTGGAGCTGCGAGTGTGTATTATCCGAATCAGTTTCGATTTGCTGTACGAAATTTTTGTGCATGTCGCCTGTTTGTGAGCTAGAAGCAAGCCATGTTATATGTATATAGACTTTTGTTTTGTTTATGTCTTTTGGGAACGGTGTGTGGAAATGAACCGTTTACAGAGAAATACAAAACAACAGAAGAGGAGCTTGGGAGAGAACTAACAGTTTCCACTAACGGTCGGCTACGGAAAATACTAGACTTAGATGACAAGAGTATCGTAGCAGTAAGATTTATACTTGATTTATTGATATGTTTAACGGTCACGTGATTTTAGATGCTTGGTTCTCGTAATGTGAGTATCGTAGCAGTAAGATATGGACTTGAATTGTTGTCACGTGATTTTTAGATGGTTGGTTCTTGCAATGCGAGCATCTATCAGTATGATTTGAACTTGAATTCATGCGGTTATCAGCTATTTTGTTCTTGTAACAAGCGTTTATGACATTTAGTGCAAAGATATTGTCTTCTTTTTAATTCTTACTTGAATTGTTTTCTAACACACATGTGATTTTAAGGCGTTTTGTCTTTGTAATGCGAGTATTAAGATTTCAACTTGAATAATATGTTTAGCAATCACGTGATTTTAGATCTTTGTTTTTGCAACAAGAAAATATGGTACCTATTGCAAAGATATTGTCTTCTATTTTATTACTTCGTGATGAAGATTCATGATAAAGAATCAACGATAAGTATTTGATTTATACTCAAACATAACCTTCAAATCTATTTTCGGAAAAGTTTGTAGTAAACTTTTCCTCCCCGTGTTTTATGACAGGAAGCTATATACTGTTGTAAATGTAATATACAAATACATTGTATTTAGAATGCAAATCAATTTAAAAATCAACGTATTCCTACAATAAAAAATCAATACCATCACGGATTTACTCTGGTCTTCCATAACCTTCCATATTTTTTCTGATATCATATATATTTATCCTGCAGTTTTTATTTTCTCAATTATATTCTTCATTTTCAATCATCAAACTATGAAATGATAAAACAGCCATTATTCATGCAACGTGAATCAACAGGAAAAGTAATACTATTTAAACTCTTTTTAAACAATTTCTTAAAAACGAAAGTAGATTCTTTATGAAATTAATGAAATTAGAATGAGATTGAATAATTATACATATAAAATCATTTTTTATGGCTTTTCTAGCTTTCAGTTTGGAGGATCCCTTTCTTAAGAGCATAAGAAGGACATTTTTGAATATGTCTTTTATTAACACTATCAATTTTAAAAAAAATCTATTCATGAAATACCTTGTCCCTAAGAGAAGACAATGTTACAAGCATATGAATGTACATACTGATACATGTCGATCAAATTCGAAATTTATAATTTTAAATTATTTATGATACCTGGAAGAACTTACATTTCTTCCTCACATCTTTTTTTAATATATGACTTACGTCAGATTTTTAAAATATATTTTGCACAAAAGTGAATTTTTTTTTTCCTTAAGCATGCGTTTACCATATTCTTTTTTCTCATTTTTTAAAGAAAACATTATGCAGAGATGATTTGATAAAAGTATCTGTTGTCGCTGGGACTTCGGGAAGTCAATGGAGGATTGGGGACGTTATTGTGGGGAGCGCGTCCCTAGGATGTTATCTCACTTTTACGAAGGCGGGGGACGGAGTCCTGGTCAAAATTACATACATTGAGGAAAAAAGAGAAGGGCTCCTGTATATGACAGTAGAAAGTGCCAGGTTAGTATCCTCACTTTAACTGTTAGTCGGAAATATTTAACGTTTTCCAGGCTAGGTTTTTTCACGATTTTGATATTTTACGTGCTAGGAAAAGCAGTAAAATATCTAGCTGCAGAGCTGTAGCTCTCTGTTTGAGAAAATTCGGACATCTGTCTGAATTTTTTCAATCGGAGAGCTACAGTTCTGCAGATATAAAATATTCAAAATTTGAAGACAGCCGGGGAAACTTCAGATATTTCAGATTTTGATGTTATTGATGATCCTTAATGTTTGAACCTAAATTACCTGACAGTACTTTTTTTTCAATTTTAAACGTGGTTAAAGCATATCTATTTTTATATAGCCCATTGGATATACTGGAAGAGGCGGACATATCGGTTCATGTGAGACACCGATCAAAAAGAAGCAATACGAATTTTCTCTCAAACATCTTGGACAGCATCAATTGGGGAGAAAGAACAAATACAACTGTTGAATTAAACCAAGAAAGAAAACCTTTCTCTCTGCTGAAAATGTCTGGTAACCCGGAATCGGAAGTCACGGTATTTAATTCAGCAATCCAGGGTCAAAGTTCAACAGGGACGGAATTCAATTTTACGTGTTCTTCCTGTTTTGGAACAATTGATTTGTCATACCATTTGTAAGTACTGCAAGACAAATTGTTTTCAGTCAAAATGTACCTCAGTTATATATTTTAATAGCATTACATAAATGTTTTTTTTAAACACATCAGTTAAAATTGAAATGAGCTTACACCATCAAAAAATATTTTAACAGAGAAATGAGAATAAGAAGAGACCAAACCACCAACAAACCAGTTATAAACTCCTACCTTTCCCAGATAGAAGGAACGGCTTTAAATAACTATCAATTTACAATTGAATCTCGGAGAGAACTAACTCTCCAATTAGAAAGGAAAATCATGGAGACAGCTCCATCTTTTCTTCAACCAATTCAACTAGAAACATTCAAAAGATTTCCCACAATACACCTGGCGATCAGCGTCCAATCAATGACTACTTTGTCTGCGGATGTGATAACTATGACTTCAAATGAGATAAAGGTCGACGATTCCTTCCAGACCTCGGGAAAATTTGTTGTATGTGAGTAGATATACTCCAAAACGAAAGAAATTAAACAGATTTTCTTTTTTGGTTTTTGATACGAAGAAGCGATTTTAAAAGAAACTACTCTTTGACATTTAAACCAAAAAAAGATGTGTTTGTGATACACTAATGCCCCGTATGGCAGCTGATGGCGCGGTTTGTTTATCAAAATTCAAAATACTAGTAGTTGGTATCCAAAAAGAAAAGATCTTGTCTTAAGGAATAAACCTGTGAAATATGAACGCCCTAGTCTGACGGTTCAAACGTTTTGGTCGAGGTTAAAATTTTTAAAAAGTGGATCAAACTCGTTGGTCAAGATCAAATATTTTATACCCATTGAAAGGTCTTGTCACAGTGCATACACATGTGAAGTATTTACCTAGAACCAACTACTTAAAAGCTATGGGCCAATGTTAAAGTTCCTCCCCTTCAGTGTTTCGCAAACACATTTTGTTTTCATTTGTTCCATTAAATAATCACTTTTTTTGCATTGCACGCAGTAATGCAGATATCTATATACAACTTGAAAAAAAAAATTAATCAATATAATTTTATTTCAATGCAACATGCATATTTTTTTGTTTTAATTAACGGTAACTGTTGTCTTATAAATCGACATTCTCTTTACCACAGTTTACAAAAATGGTACATTTTTAAAATTCTTCGAATATATTGAAAATAAATTATAATTTTTAGGAAAGGGAACTTTGTTTTAAGACAAAAACGATAAACTTAGAAATTTCAAGGACACCTGGAATATTTCAATTTCCTGTAAAGTCAGTCGTCGGTTCTCTTATAAATCTATCCCGTGATCTATTTACAGGCGATACTTTTAATACGTAATCATATTTCATGAGAATAGAATTTATTTTGTTTAAAGTGACGGAATTTAGAATCTTTCAACCGAGTCCTTTTTAGTAGAAGTACATGTAGTATGTAAATATGCACGATATACGAACAATTATATCTTAAATCGTTTTCTGTGCAAAATTATTGATGACTTTGCAAACCTCAGATTGGATTTCATTTAAATACCACTTTGAAAAAAAAGCAGGTCAACTATGAAGTTCTAAATCACCTGTCAAAATACGACAATGCATCGGGGTTACAAGTTTTATGTACTCTATTATTTGAAGAAACAAAACAGTTGTTTAAAAACGATCAATAGCTGGTCATGACGTTCCACCTATAGCATTATGTTTTTAAGTCATCCAAGGTCAAAGTTGACGAAAAGAATATTCTAAATATTTACACGAAAGATTTTTTTTTAAAAATTCACAAACCATCACAGTGCCAGCTAGTGCTTAATTGGCGCAGAAATAACAGGGTTCACGTATATTTTCAGAAGTTTATAAATCTGCAATTCTCAGAAGTTTGAATGTGAAAGATGATAAATTTTTCTCCTTTTTTTGGAGAAAAAAAATTTCAATATTTTTTAGAGTATATTATATTTGAAATTTTTCTCTTAAATTTTTCTAAAATATAATTGAAATCAGCAGTTATTTTTTTTTTTTGTGGAAATTTTATTCAAAGCCTTCCATTTCATTCTAAACAATTAAAATTCGTGTAATTAATTTTGTACATATATCAACAAAACATGCTGCACGATTTTGCTGCCCACAATAAAAAAACAAAAAGTTTAATTTTGATAAATAATAGAGATATGTTAATATTTAATTCTTAAGCCTTCCCCTACCCATCACTCCCCCCCCCCCCTCTCTAACGCTGATTAAATGTATCTTTTAATGTGCTGATTTATTTATAGAAAGAAAGGAAAATAATACAAAAATTAAGCGTTCTTTGATAAAAGGCAAGAAATGCTAATTAAACCCTATTAAGTTTGGTAAATTGTACTGTGAAGCAATGCCACATTTTTAAAGTCACCAGTTTAAGTGAGAGTTTATCTTCTTTATCTTGATCTTTATCTAGCCAATCAGCACAGTCAACACAATGGTCCACCAACAAATCATCTGTCCACATATGATTGGCAGTTTCAACACAGTCCACGTGATGGAGTGCTATCCAACGATTCATTTTCTATTCGTATCAATATTTCTCACGAGGTATGCATGCAAAATGGAAAAAAAATTATCCAATTTAAACTTTTTATATCTACGAAAATTTTTACTGATGTCGTTACTGAAAATGTTATATACAGATTTCCATAAAACCGTATATTGAATGGAGAGAGCGAGATATTCGTTTAGATTTTGGATCACCCTTTACCGTAAGGTTAGTCTTTACTTCTAATTATGTCTAGCATAGATATACCATTTTTAATGAGACAAAAATATAATTGAAGATAAAAAAAACAACTTTTTTTTGTAGATTAAATCAGGAGTTGGATGTGACGTCATCAGTTTCTGACGTATCTCTGTGTACAGATATGACAACTCAGACTACAAGTGCGTTCTCCACAGGAAAGAATTCTTTGGTCGTAGATGCATTTGGGATTCCTATATGGTACTTATAACTCACCTTGATTTAATAAAAATGCACCCTATACTGTCAACTGGTTTTTGTTCAATCATAACTCCCGGGTTATAAAAAAATTTAAGAATTTAGATATAATGAATTTTCTTTTAACAGGGGAGATATTTCAACTTTATCCAAAGCTCAAGTGACAAATTCCTCTTTAATCCAGCAACATTTATTCAACAAATGTCGTGCGAATTGCTTTGGAACTCAACAAATATCTTCGACAACAATAAGCGTCTGTGGTTCAACGGATGACGTAGTTCTTCGAAATTCGTCATCATTTTCTTCGTATGTATACATGATTGAACATTAAATTTTACACTTTCTCCAATTTCTTACGGCATAATTTGAACTAAACATTAAACAGCTCTGCCGTCTGATCTCCATTTTTAGTACAAATTTTGTTCAAGTGTAAAGTGTTATTTCTTTTTTTTTTTTTCAATTAAGGTTACGAAAATTATTTGGGGATTCTATTTTATTCCTGTCGGAGGAATCTAGTGAATCATCGTGGTGTGGATATCCAGGAAATCCTTGCGCCGACTGTGCGGACTATTTTCAAGATGATAACGTCTGCTCCGATAGATACGTCACTCCAACTCTTGCAGAAGTTCTTACAAAACTATCAAAATTAGTTGCCGCTGAATGGTCAAACAGAAAACTTTTGATTCTGGAAGCGTGGGACGAGCCTACATCAGCACACCCGGATGGTAGCCATGGTAATCAGTCCTTGTTTTACACCGGGAGAGCGGCTAGAGTTGCCCTTAGCAAAACCCTTACCAGCAAAGAACCGGAAACCAACGAAGATATATTCCGAAGGTTTCGAGAATTACTCCAGTGTTCCGATGTAGATTTCTTTGACATATTCACCCAAAATTCTGTCGTAGACCTGTGCGTTTCTGATGAATCGGCGTCTTTATTTACAAACCAGGACAAAAAGAGAAAGAGAAGAGCAGTGAAGTCAAACAACATTGCTCAAGTCAACACTTGGAGAGAGGACAAGGACAAATATGATGACCGTTTATTTAGTCTAGGTTGGTTAAAGTTTACATTTGTATTATATTATAGCAACATTTTTTTTACATTTCGATTTGTATGAAATTTAAAGAAAAATACTTTTGAAAATCAGTGGAATTTGCCGTTTAAGTATTTTTTGAAAGGAACATATATATTTTCTTTAAAGATTTTGCAATGGTACTGATACAGGGTATATTTTGCTCCTTTCATTTCCGTCACAAATAGGCAAATTTGAACATAATAAGACAGAGAAATCTGTTTAACTTAACAGTGCCTTGGAAAGTCGATTGGAAATGTGGTAGGGCAAAAATAACCTTATATACTGTAAAATAACTTTTTCATGAGGTCAGGTTTTCGAGGTTTGAGGGAAATAAATAGTTGTTTGTGTGAATTTGATTTCGGCCATATAATTTTATATATCAACCACCTTATATAAAAACAATGAATTTTTTCCCACGAAAATTTGTAATTTCACAGGATTGTATATTTAATGACTCAACACTCTGGTTTATTTTCCAGTTAGTGCAAAAACACTTGGCTCTACTTCGAAGGATTACTTTGGAAGTGGGAAATATTACCCACAGGGTAAAACAGCAGATGATGTGTGTGGACACGCTGATGAAACATACAGCATAGAAAACCTAGAACAGATGCAGAGGTGAGTATACTATCAGTAACGAAAAGTATGTCCATTTTCAGTTTTATTTTTTTTCATCTTTTTTTGTAAATGAATATTACTGTGCTATCATGTAAATCTTTCAACCTGGAAATATTGTTTGGTAGTTTTGCATAAAAGCTCTCAAAAATGTCTTTTTTTAATTTTGTCATTTAAAACATTTGAAATAAAATAAATATGAAACATTTTTTGATCGAACTGTTCACAGATTAGTTCAATATCCGCTACAAAACGTTGAGTTTGAACCAGAGGGACCAAAAACGTCATCTTGTGGAGCCTCAACCCGGGGATGCAATCAGTGCCAGGATTATACGGATGTAGATAATCCCTGGGATTGGTGCCTGACTCGGACCATGAATACTAGAGCCGTAACAAGGTTACGGAGACTAGTGAAATTGGTAGAAGACAATACCCCAAGTAAGTAGCATTTCCCCCTCATGATTGTTATAGCCCTTTCTTACAATGAGAACTGTTGATTGAGAAAATAAGTCGTTATTTTTCTTGATGTCAATGTACGGTCGACAGTGGATGCTAATTCCTCCGCGGCACCTGATCCTACATTTAATGTTTTAAAGGCACTTGTATTGTTTAAATGGATTTTGAGCTTAAATACTGTTCGTATCTCCACATTTCAATTTGAAAATTAACTTCAGTATGTAGCTTTTGTAAATTGTTATCATATAAGTGATCGCATGTCCTTTTTAGCTCACCTGAGCCGAAGGCTCAAGTGAGCTTTTCTGATCACAGTTTGTCCGTCGTCCGTCCGTCCATCCGTCCGTCTGTCCGTCTGTCTGTCCGTCTGTAAACTTTTCACATTTTCAATTTCTTCTCAAGAACCACTGGGCCAATTTTGACCAAACTTGGTACAAAGCATCCTTGGGTAAAGGGAAATTTAAATTGTTAAAATGAAGGGACATATCCCCTCGCAAGGGGAGATAAACAAGAAAAGACAAAAATAGGGTGGGGTCATTAAAAAATCTTCTTCTCAAGAACCACTGGGCCAGAAAAGCTGAAAATGTGGAAGCATCCTGGGGTAGTGTAGATTCTTTTGTTCAAATTTTAAGGGCGGGGCCACAATGGGGAATCAAAGTTTTACATAGAAATATATAAGAAAAATCTATGAAAATCTTCTCAAGAACCACTGGGCCAGAAAAGCTGAAACTTATGTGGAAGCATCCTGGTATAATGTAGATTCTAAATTGTTCAAATAATGACCCCCGGGGGATGTGTGGGGCCACAATGGGGAATCAAAGTTTTATATAGAAATATATAGGAAAAATCTTTGAAAATCTTCTTCTCAAGAATCACTGGGCCATAAAAGCTGAAACTTATGTGGAAGCATCCTAGTATAGTGTAGATTCTAAATTGTTCAAATCATGACCCCCAGGGGAAGGGCGGGGCCACAATGGGGTATCAATATAGGAAAAATCTTTGAAAATCTTCTTCTCAAGAACCACTGGGCCAGAAAAGCTGAAACTTATGTGGAAGCATCCTGGTATAATGTAGATTCTAAATTGTTCAAATAATGACACCCGGGGGAAGGGCGGGGCCACAATGGGGAATCAAAGTTTTATTTAGAAATATATAGGAAAAATCTTTGAAAATTTTCTTCTCAAGAACCACTGGGCCAGAAAAAGTGAAGCTTATGTGGAAGCATTCTGGGGTAGTTTAAATTCTGAATTATAGGAATCATGACCCCCGGGGGAAGGGCAGGGCCATTATAGGGAATCAAAGTTTTACATAGAAATATATAGGAAAAATCTTTGAAAATCTTCTTCTCAGGAACCACTGGGCCAAAAAAGCTGAAACATATGTGCCCATGGAAGGATCATGGGGTAGTGTAGATTTCAAAATGTCTAAATTATGATCAGTGGGGTAGGGTGGGGATGCATTATGTATAACAAGGGTGAAATCTGGTAAAGAACAGAATAGTCAAAGCTTCTCAGGTGAGCGATGTGGCCCATGGGCCTATTGTTTGTGTATCGCACCAAAGATCTGATATTTAAGAATTTTAGGGTGCTATCATCTGACTCCACCATGACACCTGTCCCGCCTCTGATGTTTTGTGGGGGTCCGTTTTTGCTCTTCTCCAATTTTGAATTGTTTGATGGACTTTTGAGCTTGAATGCTGTTCGTTATCTCCATATATTTCATCATTCGGATCGAAATATGATGCGATGAATAATAAGTACATGTATTCTTGTAGGGTCCTCATCTGGAATGACGGACGAAGAACTCGGTGTTTGTCGATCTGGAGTGGTACTGTTTCAGACTCTTGACGAGTGTAAAAAAGAAATGCCAAGCTCAACTACCGACAAAGAAACAAAATGTGTCAGTAATAAATCTGGCTAACCATAGCAGAATTAATTTTATGTTAAGAAATTTAAATCTTGAACTTGTCTTACAAAGTATGCCATTACTAGTACTGCAAAAACTTTTTTATTGCCATTTTAGTACAACTGCATAAAAGAGACCCGTTGCTGCTACCTCAATGACAAAATAGGTTGCATGAAAAACGATTGCTCTGGAGACCAAAGCGCCAGTGTCTGGACACCAATTACATGTAAAGGTATGTTCATTATATATTTATAATGAAATAGGTGATGTATTTATCTACTTTAGGATCCATAAGGCTTTTCCGCCTTTGAATATTTCAACTACACTTTCCAATTCTCTTTATTTTACTTATTTAGTATTTCAAAGTACTCTCTAACAAAGTCGCGGTTGGCTATTTTTCATATAGAATACTCAGTCTTTATAATTCAATTTCATGTTATTGTAGAAAATACTTACGACTAAAAGCAGTTTTAAATTTGAGAATTTCGAAAAAAGTTGTTAAATTGTACTGCTTTACAGGTATACTTCCATTTTAATCCACAACACATATTATTCATTTATCTTTGTTAGAAAAATTCAAATGGTATGCTTTATACAATTATTCCTTTGTAGAACAAAATCCATTCGCTCCTGGTGTAACTATCCCTTCCACTCCAGGTAAATTTTCACCCTTTAAAAATTACTTAAAGTTAATATAGTCTAATTAATAATTTAGACCTTTGAGTCTCTATGGCAAGTAATGTTTTAAATTAAGTTGATTTATACAATGAGTTTACAATGTTGCTCAAATTCATATTCAGCTCTTCCTTTTCTTCCTAGCTTGTAACCAAGGGGACGATTCGAAAATGATTCTTTATGGAAATATATGTTCAGGTAAGAACTAAATTCCTGGAAATAAAATAAATACATTATGCATTTTAAGCACATGGTGGTAACATCATAAAGATTTTTTTTTTCACACAGGCGATCCCTGTCAATTCTTCAGTGGAAAAGAATATCATTTACTTCTCAAAGTGATAATGATATTCGAAGTGTGTTCTGGGAAATGGGATCAGGCTACGATGGATTCAGACATTAAGAACTTGAATGTCAGGGAGGGGAATCTCATGACGTTCTTGTCTTCGTGTATGGGGAGTGACAATACTATTCTCAAAATCCACAACCCGATTCCTAATGATCCAACTATCGGTAAGAAAAAAAAATTAGTAAAAGACTATTAGAATAACTTTTTAAAAATGTTTGATTGCCCTCTATCAACTGCATGACTGGATAAAAGTGGTCCGACTCAAAACTTTTATGACCTCAAGGAAGTAACTTTTTTGTGCGTTATGAAAAAAATTATTTTAAAATTTATCTCTGATGTAAAAATTTTTTTTAAAAAATCTCACCTACCTACCAACAAATTCTTTTCCATCGTGAATCGGGAGAGAGCTCGAGAAAACAAAAATTATTTTAAATGTGACCTTTCAGTATAAACATATTACATGTATTACAAAAATTAACATACATAATTACAGTTGAACATGCCCCTGCGAGGTGATCATGAATAAATCATGATTTTTCTTGAATCATTCATGAATTTTATTCATGAAATATTCATGAAAAGTTCATGAAGATCCTATGAACTTATTATTGGACATTTTATAATCATGAATTTTTATTCATGAAAGGAAATTGATGAATATTCATGAATATTTTTTTTCATGAATAATTCATGAATATTTTTTTTCATGAATAATTCATGAAGAGTCATAAATTCATGAAGATTCATCAGTTCAAGAATTGTCCAATAATAAGTTCATTGCATCTTCATGAACTATTCATGAATAATTAGGTAAGTTTATTCAAGAAAGTTCATGAATAAAATTTATTCATGAACCATTCATGAATATTCTTGCACATTAGGTAAACAAAAAAGCATATTATTATTCACGTTTATTCATGAACATGCAAGAACTCTAATCATACAAAAAATCTTGAAAAAAAAAAATTTTATAGCATGAAAATGGGTTACAAACAAAAATAATTGATATTTAAGCCCATTTTAGCCTCTTCTTTAAAATCAGAAGACACTCTCTTGAAATATAATTTGTATTTCTTGGTATTAAATTAAAATACTATATTGTATTTAGGCAACCCAACTTAATGTTTGAAATCTTTCTCCTTTTTAACAAATCAAAAGCATTAAACAAAGGCAGATCATATATATAACGAAAACTAACAGCTAAATTCCAAATGTTTTCCAATTTCCGTATTTTTATAACAGCAAAATATAAGATGTATTTTAAACTACAAATTTGTACAAAATACGAGGAAATCATAGAGTAAACAGGTCTGTAATTGTCTTAGGCCAAAAAAAACAAAAACAAACATTGTTTCCTGCTACTAGCCTGAAAAAAAATTGGGTAGGTGTAAGTAGGAATACTATTTCTTTTTTTTCCAGTAATATTTGTTGAATATGAACTATTACATTAAACGAAATTAAAAATGTCATTGGTCAATATTATGGTTAAAAATAATTAGTGTTGTATGAAAGTCCACATTTAAACCTTATATTTCATGAAATACCACTTGAATATATATTATTTTTCAATTTTGAATGAGGAAATTTCCGATTTTTTTCTGAAAACTAAATAAAAACTTAAGGGTCGTGTGCAAAGTCTAGTAGCAGGAAACAAGACTATTATGGCCTTACCGCTTTCTCTCTACCTTCTGAACGTTTTGTACTTTATCTCTCAAATCCCTTCTACTAAAATCTGGGAAGAGTTCATACACTATGTTTTCGAGAGTGCGAAACCTGTCTTGATTAAGAGGGGGGCGGGGTCCTCCTTCTGAACACTTTACTGTTTTTTTCCCCGAAATGGAGCATTCCTTAATTTCACTTTTGGTAAAAAGTGTATTCAACAGCAAAACAACAGCGTCTGTTGCTTTGAAACATTTTTTAGCTGAAGAAATCAATTCAGATCGTCGCACTGAACCATTGTTTGGGAGAGCAATAGTTTCATCATCTGACGAATGATCATCACCGTTTCCATTGGGTGCAGATCTCTCTAGATTTCGCACTCTTTTTCTTAGTTTCTTCACCTCTGATTTCAGGTCATCCACTTCCTTTCTCATCTCTTCAAGTTTTCTCTTATCCCTAAAAGAACAGAGATTTTCTGAAAATTTCCCATGAAGACATATTTTACATTTCAATGAAACAAATCTTAATCAGTTATAAACAAGAAGTCTAGAGCTAATGCTGACTCAAATACCCCCTCTCCCTGATGTGAATATACACTATCATGTTGATATACACAAATTCAGTTATGAATAGATGCACAGTTTAAAAGGAAATTAACATGCAATTTGAGCAAAAATAAGTTCCAACATATAATGCCTCAACAAAGTATATGCTAAAATTTCAAGTATCAGCAATGAATACTTTCTGAGAAAACAGCGATGAGAAATCTGTAATGTATTATATGGATTAACAAAAAGTTGACACCCTATTTTCACAAAAATGAACCCCACCATATGGCAAAGAATGCGTTAACATAAATGTACTAACCTGTTTTTGTTTAATGTCTTTCTTGACAGAAATGTAGGCATCCCATCTTCGCCATCACTTTCTGTAGAAATAAGTGCCTTAGTATTAACACAGAAATGAAAAATTTTCAGGCAATAATATAAATGAAAACAAAAGGATTTTTTTAAAAAGTGAAATCATTAAAATATATTGGTGTAGAGAGAACATTTCAAGGGTTCAGATATTCATTAACTCACTTGATTTACCTGTATTAAGTGGTGTGGCAGGTGGCGACTCACTTTCATCAGAGTCGGGAGCTGGTGCTGTCTTTTTAGGGGTTAATCTAATATTAGACTGTCCGAGTCGTTTGCTTGAAGAGGATGCTATTTAATAATATCACGAGTTAATATTTATCTATTTTCCACAAGTCATGTTATGAATAAGGTTTTATTGCAATTATATTACAATTTTAAATTATTTATATCAGGGTGAGCACCAGTAAACTTGTTTGGATCTTGTATTAATTAAAGAAGTCAGTGCAGAGAGAGGATGCAAACATTTCAAAGATTAATAGATACATTAACTCACCTGATTTACCTGTATTAAGTGGTGTGGCAGGTGGCGACTCAGTTTCTTCAGAGTTGGGAGCTGGTGCTGTCTTTTCAGGGATTAATCTAATATTAGACTGTCCGAGTCGTTTCCTTGAAGAGGATGCTATTTAATAATATCATGTGTTAATATTTGTCTATTTTCCACCTGTCATTGTTATGAATAATGTTTTATAACAATTTTAAATTATTGATATCAGGGTGAGCACCTGTTAACTTGTTTAGATCTTGTTTTAATTAAAGAAGTCAGTGCAGAGAGAGGATGCAAACATTTCACAGATTAATAGATACATTAACTCACCTGATTTACCTGTATTAAGTGGTGTGGCATGTGGCGACTCAGTTTCATCAGAGTTGGGAGCTGGTGCTGTCTTTTCAGGGATTAATCTAATATTAGACTGTCCGAGTCGTTTCCTTGAAGAGGATGCTATTTAATAATATCATGTGTTAATATTTGTCTATTTTCCACCTGTCATTGTAATGAATAAGGTTTTATAACAATTTTAAATTATTGATATCAGGGTGAGCACCTGTTAACTTGTTTAGATCTTGTATTAATTAAAGAAGTCAGTGCAGAGAGAGGATGCAAACATTTCACAGATTAATAGATACATTAACTCACCTGATTTACCTGTATTAAGTGGTGTGGCAAGTGGCGACTCAGTTTCATCAGAGTCGGGAGCTGGTGCTGTCTTTTCAGGGATTAATCTAATATTAGACTGTCCGAGTCGTTTGCTTGAAGAGGATGCTATAATAAAATCAAGTCTTAATATTCATCTATTTTCCACCTCTCATTGTTATGAATAAGGTTTTATAACAATTTTATATTATTGATATCAGGGTGAGCACCTGTTAACTTGTTTAGATCTTGTATTAATTAAAGAAGTCAGTGCAGAGAGAGGATGCAAACATTTCAAAAAACCTGATTTACCTTTATTAAGTGGTGTGGCAGGTGGCGACTCAGTTTCATCAGAGTCTGGAGCTGGTGCTGTCTTTTCAGAAGGAGCTGATATGCTGGAACAGGATGCTATTTAGAAACAAGAAAATGAAATTGTTTTATTATATGTTCTTGTGTAATCATTGTATTTATTTGGTAGATTACCCGAAGAAAACTTTTATAGCTGAATTTTTCAAAGAATTAAATTGTTCTTACCTACTGACCCATCTTGAAATTCATGCTTTCGTTGCCTTGATTTTTTCTTTTCTTCAAGGTATTTTTTGTCATCTAGAAATTTACATAAAATAGTACAACTATGTACATATATATATCTAATTCCTTTTTAAAAACAAGTAACTTATTATCCCCACTGAGACTGAACCACTTGAGTATAAATTTAAACACCATTCCATATGCAGAAGAGGTCAGGATCAATCCCATCTCCAGGACAAATTAATAGCATTTGGTAAATTCTAATTTTTGTGGATATGTAGGTATTAAAAGCTCCCCCAACTTCGTTGAGATGAGGCTGAGCTAAAAACTGAACAAGTTGAAGTATATATTTATAAACGTCTTACATTCAGTCACACCATCAATTATTATTGATCCTTTTAGTTATTTAATTCCCCTTCTAAAAAGCCCTGATTAAGTATAGGATTATACTCGTTCCAAACTAGCTGCAGAACTGTAGCTCTCTGCTTGAGAAAATTCTGACAAAGCAGAGAGCTACAGATCCAAGCCTTGTAAAAACATTCAATTTACTCCAACGATTTTTGGTCGCTCACTTTGGGTATATTTTTGTGTATTTTATACTTTACCCAGCTTTGAAAATAATTTTAAATGATATTTAATAATAAACCATACAATCAATTTCAATTCCTGATTGTTTACTTACCCCCTAACGCTAACAAATGGCTGTTTGTGGTTACAGACGTCGAAATAGAAATCTTTTAAACCGACATTACAAAACTATAAACAGGACTGTTTCGGACCGTTAGAAGGTAAACAGAGTATCAGGTTAGAGTGAAATATATGAATTATTACCATTTAATACCAGGATACCATTTTAAAAGCCAGAGAAAGCTCAAACAACCCGAAATAAATACCTAAAGTAGCGACAAAAAATGTCAGCGTAAATCGAAGGTTTTTAAAATGCTTGGATCTGTAGCTCTCTGCTTTATCTGTCCGAATTTCTCAAGCAGAGAGCTACAGTTCTGCAGCTAGTTCCAAACCCACTTGAAAAACTGTATTTGCTAGACCTACAAAATAGACGAATTTCACATTCCTAAGAGTTATCTCCCGTTGTCGACGTAACGCTCATTTTTCCCACTTTGTCCTTTGTAAGTTACCTGTTAATATCTTTAAATTTCAAACGTTATAGGAAAATTTTGATCTGTACATATATTGCCAGAGTATGTGGCAACATGAAAAACACAATGGGCATATTCATATAGATTTTATTTCTAGGATACTGACCCATAAAGTTGGTAAGGCTATAGAGGGAAAACAGCGTCTTACGCCGGTTGACCCCGGATTGACCCCGCAAAGGGGAATAACTTTTATAAATGTGAAAGTTGTCTATGGTGGCCAATGGTAATTAACCTATTTAGAAAATTATAATTTTAATGAAAAAGTTGCCCTGGTTGGATTGATCCATCCTTAAGTCTGTAATTGGCAAGGTTTTAATTTAGAATGCAAATTAATTTTCAAAAACTGATACAGATAAAAAGAGCTACCAAAGATATATTTTGTAACTTACCACTGATCTCAGCTATGACTGCAGAGTACATTGTTCCCTTGAATTTGGCCCTGATATACTCTCCCTCTTCGTACTTCTCTATTTCTTTACGGGGCTGACAGATTGCGTCTATGTTTATTATGCTAACATAGTTATCCTCCCATTCTATCAATGCAAAAACTTTAGGGTCTGCCATTTTCAATGCCTCGCGTGATTTTTAAGTTTGCGGCGCGATTCAAGTTTGCGCCTTTTGTCGTGACCAATAGAAAATCCGCTCTGTAAGATTTGTAAGGTCGAGTTAGCAAATAGTTTCGAATTTTCGAGAAATAATAAGACGAAAGAAATAAAATTTTAGTATATTTTTTCACTAATTAAATTAAAATAAAAAACTATTTAATTTTAATCATTTAATGATTTCAAAGAAATGTTCACATCAATATACGCATCCACCATCGAATGTGTTGAAGAGCGACGAGCCTCGTTTTGGATATCACAACAAGTATGGCCGCGGAGGTCAAAACAGCGGACTATGCAGAAGTTTGGGAGAATGGTCGTAAAAAGTATGAGTGTGCATTGTGTGGCAGATATTTTACAACAACACGGTCCACAATATATCACTTACATACCATGCATGGGAAAAGTAAGTTTTTTAACTGCATTAATTTTTAAATTTTCGTCAAGTGTTCGACCTAAAAAAATTAACATGGAGTTCAGTAGGGATATAGGGTACCTCTATTGAAATTCTGTTGGGCTAGATATTGATTTGCTTACCAATAACGCATGTAAATCCCAACATAAAAATATTTACAGAAATATCTGTTCGAAATATGAGATATCAGTGCAAATATCTTGCCCAGCAGAATCTCAATTAGCCCCTTCACGATAACTGCGGAACTACACTTTTGCAGGGCAAAATAATAACGTTTGGCGGTGTTTTTGTTGATAGATAATTAAATGACGTATTTTAAACAATTACTTTTACGTCATATTTCACCAAAATATATCATTTTGCCCTGCAAAAGAGCAGTACCCCAGTTACTGTGAAACGGTCTATAGAGATTTATTATCAGGTCCAGTTCAAAGACTATTTCTACCTACGCAGCTATTAATAGCTACCTAGGTATTTAAAGCTACTTAAAGTAGCTATTTATACCTACATTTTATAATTTCTGCATTTTGCGGCACAAGTTCAAACTGCGCAAGATGGTAAATACCATATCTTTTGTCATACAGTCACACTAATGATGAATACAATGAAATTTTGGCCTAAAAATGATTACTTCCTGAGTCGACAATTTAACATTAGTTTCCATGCAAAATTGATAATATATGAAGTAATCATTTTTTGGCCAAATTTTTGTCATATTCATCATCAGCGTGACTGTTTCAAGAAATAGTCTTTGGACTGAACCTGATTAAGGGATATGACATTAATGAAAAAGGCGATAAGAAGGCAAGAAGATATAAAATGTTTCGATAATCCAATGCAGATAGGCATAATGGCTCAATGTTTCTTAGTAATCATTTCAATATTGGACTAAATTTTAAAATGCACAAAATTCAAATTAGCATGGAAATATTGAATATTGACAATATTCTGAAAAGACCGGTTAATGAATTTGGCACAGTGATTTCTTATTTTGTTACACTTGTCTGTGGCTTAGTGCAAGAGCAAAGTTAAACAATAGCTACATTATACGACTCATGTAATGTTATTTTTGACACTCGATATTTATATTTTTATTTACAGGTCCCTTGAAGAAAATAAGGAAACAGTATCTTGAAAACCCTAGTATTGAAATACCTCGTAGTACTCTGCATTACAAGAAGAAAAAAAATGATCTGTGTGATAAAAGTCTTGTCCGTAACAATGAGATTGAAAAAGAAAAGGCCCAAGGCAGTAATAAGGATGTGGAAAGTGTGCTGACTGTGAATGACTATACTCTTGAAGGTAATTTTCATTTTTAGAACAGCTAAATTAATCTCTGTTTGTATGAAGTCTTGAATATTTACCCCGAAACTTCAAACATATTAGCAGATCACTATTGAAATAGTTCACCCTACTCATTCTCTAAAGGTTTGTTTGGCATGTAATGTCATGCCCTTTTCTAAAGGGAAAAAAATAATTAAAAGGGGGGGGGGTTAAGTTAAAGTTTTTTATGTAAGGAAATATATAAATATAAAATGAATCTCTAGCTCAGGGCAATTTTTTTCAAGAAAGTGTGGGTGAATGGTAATTTTTTTCTTTCCGTACATGCATTTGATACATTTAATCATGTAAATAATTACTAATGCCTATAGTTCATGGTAAAATTGACTTTTTAATACATGTAATATCTGTTTATAACTTTTTTCAACAGAATGTGGCTATTCTAATTAAACACTTGATTTTGTTTGATTTTTTCAGACAAACAGACAGATGAACAGTTGCAAAATATCTCTGATGATCCAAAGTTACCATATGAAAATGAGCATAATACATCTTCTCTTGAAGGTAATTTTCATTTTTAGAACAGCTAAATTAATCTCTGTTTGTATGAAGTCTTGAGTATTTACCCCTAAACTTCAAACATATTAGCAGATCACTATTGAAAAAGTTCACCCAACTCATTCTATAAAGGTTTGTTTCAATGGCATGTAATGTCATGCCCTTTTCCAAAGGAAAAAAAATGATTATATAAAGGGGGGGGGGGAGTTAAGTTAAAGTTTTTTATGTAAGGAAATATATAAATATAAAGTGTATCTGTAGCTCAGGGCAATTTTTTTCAAGAAAGTGTGGGTGAATGGTAATTTTTTTCTTTCCGTACATGCATTTGATACATTTAATCATGTAAATAATTACTAATGCCTATAGTTCATGATGAAATTGACTTTCTAATACATGTAATATCTGTTTATAACTTTTTTCAACAGAATGTGGCTATTCTAATTAAACACTTGATTTTGTTTGATTTTTTCAGACAAACAGACAGATGAACAGTTGCAAAATATCTCTGATGATCCAAAGTTGCCATATGAAAATGAGCATAATACATCTTCTGATGATAGTAACACTGATGTTTCAACAGATACTTCTGACAGCTCCAGCGATGAAATAGAGGATGGACTCTCAGATTCTTCATCTATAGCATCTAGCAGCACATATGACCAAGATGAGCATAGTGATATGGAGGAACAGAATGTTGAAATGTGTTTATTGTCATGCTTTTTAAGGAATAATTTTTCTGCAAGTTCTGCTAAGGATGTTCTTTGTACCCTGCAAAGAACTTTTCCAGAGTGCGAGTCTTTAGGGAAACTGAGTTATGAAAAGCTTTGGGGATTTCTTGATGTAGACTTTGCATCGGAGGTGCATTACTGTGAAAAGTGCTATAGAATTTTTCCTGACAATCCAGATATTGATAAATGTAGGGAATGTGGTGGTCCTCGATACAAAGCAGGGATAAATAGAGTAAAACAAGCTTGTTCTACTTTTGTCTATGCAAATGTTGAAAGACAGCTCAAGAACTTATTGCAATCTCCAGGTAAATATAATTGTGATTTAATAACTTCATTGGTGGGAGATAGAGATTATATTATTGCACACTTATTGTTATAAAGGGATATACACATGTACATTGCACAAAGCCATACTTTAAGTGGTGCTTTTGATGAATATTTTGAACAATAAATTACAATGCTAAAGCTCTAGCTTACTTGGAACTTACTGTATGTAGTTCTTTTTAATGCTTAAAACAAAACTTACTGGATTTGTAAAGTATATGACTTGTTAAGTTAAAAAAAATTAGCAGTGATTTTTTTTTTGTCTCTAAAATTTGATGGATTATTTATTGTATGAATTGCAGATTTATAATAAATATTTTAATATTCAAAATAATTTCAGGAATTTGGGATGACATTAAACGGAACAAAAGCCAGATATTGGAAAGACATGCAGCCAACCCTGACCTTATTACTGATATAACAGATGGGAGGATATATAAAGAGTTATTGTCTGAAGGAGGTTTCCTTGATCACAGCTGCAATATTACTGTACTGATGAATACTGATGGCCTGAGTTTGTATTCTTCTTCCAAAATACAGCTGTGGCCTGTTTTCTTTGCCGTAAACGAACTATCTCCTTCTTTGCGATTTGCTAGGGAAAATGTCATACTCGCAGGAATATGGCAAGGAAAAGGGAAACCTCCAATGCAGCAATACTTGGGGTCATTGTGCTGTATTTTAAACAATTTGTATGATACCGGGATTATTGTAGACCTGGATAATGAAGAAACATGTGTTAAAGTGAAAGTTATTGGTGGTACCTATGATTTACCTGCTAAAGCTGCCGTCTTAAATATGACCCAATTTAATGGAAGTGAATCATGCATAGCTTGTGAAGACCCAGGAAAAGTAGTCAAACAGGGAAAAGGACACTGCAGAACTTTTCCATTCCGTGAAAACAATGACAAATACCCACAGCGAAATCAGGGCAATGTATCCTTTTGTATGTTGCATGGAACACCCAACAGACGAATTAAAGGTTTCAGAGGAGAGTCCGCTTTGTTGAAATTAAAGGATTTTAATATTGTAAGTGGAAGCCCCCCTGATTACATGCATGGAACTTTACTTGGTGTCATTAAATGCCTTATGAACAAATGGTTTTCAGCTACAGAAAGCAAAAGTGACTGCTTCGTAGGTAACCATTTGAAGATTATTTCAAAAAGGATGAATAGTATACAGCCTCCACAATTTATGGAAAGATTACCTCGAGATTTAGAGCAAAATTACATTCATTTCAAAGCTACAGAATTGCAGGCTTGGCTTCTATACTATGCCCTTCCATGTTTATGTGGAATTTTGCCAGAAATTTACTTGCAACATTTTGCTTTGCTATCTGAAGGAATTTATTTGCTTTTAGGTGATCATATAACAGATGCTAACCTTACAAGAGCAGAAAGAATTCTTGTCAAGTTTTTCAAAGATTTTTGTAACTTGTACCCTGCAGGAAACTGTGGACTTAACGTGCATAACATTGGGTTCCATTATGTAGACTATGTTCGCCTCCTCGGTCCATTGTGGGCATGGAGCTGTTTTCCGTTTGAAGACTGTAATTCTATGATTACAAAATCAGTGCATGGAACCGGAAACATAACACATCAGATAATGAGGCTAAAGGAGGCACAAACCGTTTTGAGAAACCGCCTTCAGTTGACTCCAAAAGAAAGATTATGGAAATGTACTACATGTATGTTGAATTGTGATGTTGCTGGGGCTATAAATCAAATTCCTAATGATGCATATAAATCTTTCATCATGAAATCATTTTGTGCTGAGGATATTTCAGAAATTAAAAAAGTGGAAAGAATCCTTCTTCATGGCAGAAAGTTCTATTCTCAAAGTTATTCTCGTATGAAGAGGAGAACATGCAGTGTCTTCATAACAAAGAGCAGGAAAGTAGTAGTAGTTCTTTATTTTGTTCTACATTTAAAAACTGAACTTGTGTATGCTCTTGTACTACCAATGCATCTAAAAGAGTGTGGTATTAGGAATGTTGGGAAACATTTTGCAAGTGTAAATATTGACCAGACTTGTGAATTGATACTAGTTGAAGAACTTGAAGAAAATGTTTGGTATGTTGATGTCAAAGATGACACTTTTACAGATAAGTTCATTGTTAGGATGCCAAATGCTCACGGACATGCTATTTTTAAGTAAATTTTTGAAAAGAAGTCTCATAATGGTTCAGTGGTTTTGTGTAAAGCAACATTTACAGATATAATAATATATATCTTTTTTCCCAGTTTATCCAACTTGGGCAAATTTGCCATTACTTTGTAAAATGCATGAATATCATGAATGAATTCTCTTTGTTTCACTTCATGTACATGTATAATGTTTGAATGACAGAGTTGCATCTCTAGGATGATAATACTTGTAGGCTAAGGATGGGAGAACCTCAAAATTTATAACTATATGCCGTTGAAGAATTTAAATACATGTACCACCCAATCACAGATATTCCTTAAAATTCTAAAGATTGTGTTAAAAGGAGTGTAAGAAAGTGCATAGATCTGTATCATTTTTCATATGTTTTTGTCATGGACAATTAACATGGAATCAACATGATCAAACTCTCATATTACAATTAAATGTAAAGTTTTTTTCTTTATATGAATACATACATGTCTATTAAATGTTTTATAATAAATAATGTACTGTTCTATTTCTAAAAGCAACTTGTAAAATATATGTATGAATATTCATGAATATTCATGAAGACTATTTATTTTTTATTTGAATTGCAGGTCAATTAAATCTTCATGAAAATTCATGAATGTTCATTCCCATGAACTTCTGGTGAGTTTTATGAAATTTACTTGTGTGACGACTCCGATTTACCAATATTCATATAAATTCATCATTTGTTCATGAACTTCATTTTATGAATATATTCATGAATAAAATTCATGAACTGTCTTTATGAACCAGTCATGAACCAGTCATGAATATTTCATGAAGTTTCATGAACGCTTCATAAAAGTTCTTGAAATCATGAATTTCACCTCGCAGGGGTGGTTATGACGAAGTGCTGAGGACGGACGGTTCGGCTTTGTTATAAATGAAACTCGTTCTATCCGTTAAATTCAAAGAATACCAGTCTTTTAAAGCAACGGATGATTTAAATTACTTTGCTGTAGCAGTAAGCGTCATTTGTTATAAGCGTTTCTCTCTAAGAATGTTTCACTGTTCAAGCTACATTTTATATAGTCTTCTCTTTATTACAAGTTAAAATCAAATTAAAGAATTCAGTTAAACATCTCTGGTTTTCTAAACTAAAGTTTACTTTAGATGACATTTTAGTCTTTTGTAAATGAGGGTTTTTATGCAGACAATGCATGTCAAATGGGTTATCACAACATATTTAATCTCTTGGAATGGAAAAAAATGAATTAATTCATTTCATTTCTAGGTATCGGTTACAGCCTTCGTGAAGCAATAGATTCAACAGAAAAGAAAGATTTTCTATTGGACACAATACCAAGCCTTGATTATAACAAAATAATGACTGGAGAACAAAGTTTAACAAAAGAGCAAGCACTTTTCCTATACGATGTAAGTTAATAGACACTTTTTCCATCAATATTTGTTAACAGTATGGAAAATTAGTCTATTAAATTTTAATTTTACATTAACAGCACGTTATTTGAAAAAGTCATTTTTGTAAGAATAAGCAATGCATTTATTAAGTTCTTACAAAGTAAATTTAAAATGCTAGTTCATATAAAATAATTTATTAAGTTATTTTCACCTGTGTTAATTTCTGCCTTTAACACTTGTAATCAATTTTGCCCCATTTAAAATTCGACCTTTTACAGTTCTGTTTAAGAAATTAATTTTTTTGAATTAGCCCAGTTTTAAGTTTGCTCACCTATGAGTACATGGTAGGGCAAATGTGGTAAAAAATAAAACGGGGGCGAAAATTTCACTGTTTATAGTAGTTTTGTCATGATGTTAATTTTGAATTTATCGCGTGGCAGTGTAAATTTTGTATTTACTTCCACCCGGTAAATTCAAAATTTACAACATGATGACAGTTTTATAAGATTGTTTTCATAGAGAACAATGAGAAGACACATTATAAGAAGCATCAACAGTATCGTTCCTTTTAAAATATTCATACATTTGGACACGGCCACGAAAATTGCGATCATCAATGCAAGATACAGAGGGGAAATTGCTGGAAGTCTTAAAAAGAAATTTAACAATGCCGTCACCAACGGTCAGTGGGCACAAGCGGCAGCCGCTTATCTCACCCATCCAGAATACACGAAGAAATACAAATGCACTACAACCGGAAAAGGAAGTATATGCACTAGAATGAAGTGGAATGCTGAGCAGTTCCAGAAACAAGTTTGGAAACCAGGTATATACAACCAAATGATCAATTTTTAAAAACAGTGAATAGAAAATCTCGATTCGAATCACTGTGTTTGGAGATTGTTGATTCGATTTTATTCATTTGAATAAAAGAACGGATTTTTAATAGTTGATGAAATGGTTTATTACAATTCAGTGAAGGTATCCAAGTCTGATCAACCTCGAGGTAAAAGATCAACTGGGACGACACTGTCAACTGTCGGGAGGTATGGTATTGTTGGAATTACCTAGTATATTGAATCCAGTTAATACATATAACATCTTTGCAAAGTATATCTTGCAAAATTGTACATGTATTTTGAAATTATTGATGAAATACAGGTATACATATTACTCTCTGGAATTTGTGAGATAATTACCATTTCAAACAATACCGCTATATCATTTGCAGATCCTTGAAAATATCTGCCAACACAGGTGTGTCATTGAGCAACAGTAAACTGGCGAATCTCGCCATTCTTGCAGGATTTGATCACGTGACAAAAGAATCCGATCACATCATAGCCAGCGTCCGACCAGCTACGGGTGTTAACACCGTTATAGTGAATTATCCAAACTTGAACATGCACGAAACAGAACCGCCAGCTAAGGACACAATAGAATACGAAATACCAGCCGAGGCAGATTATAGTTTAATGTATCCCCTTCTTCTAGACGGGTTCAATGATTCAATAAAACTCTCAGATTGTTATAGAATTGCCGATTTAAAAATACAGAAATATAGATATTTTAGATTTGATTTAAAACTGTTAGAATGCTTGGAAGAAGCCAGTAGTCATTATGAAGGATGTATAAAAGTTATACCTGGATCCGGATATCGTGTAAGATCCGATAACAATAGAAATATTGAATTAAGACATTCAGAAGAAAGATGGCGGTTCTCCGTAGGTCAAGCAGTCGAAGTTGGACAAGGGTTGTCACCGAAAGAGCTATCGAATCTTGGTTTAACAATTATCAGATCATGTGTCAGAAATCTCACTCCTAAGAGGTTAATACTAGGTATCGGGGCTCACTCAGATCGGTTGTATGTGGATGTAAGGGAGACAACTCCAACAGAGGAATTTATTAAAGTATGGGACGCGGGAAATCCAGAACTATACAAAGAGCTTAAAGAAATAGAAACAGGATTCAATAAAGGTACATCATGTAATAAAGGAAGAAATGCAGAAATTAAAAAAAAAATGCTTGCAAATTTGACGTGTATTGAAAATGATTTATATTTGAAAAGTCAAACTGTCCTAATATATAATATATATGATTTTTTTTTAATTAGGTGGAGCTTTCATTGATCCAACGAATAGAACTAGAGCATGCGAAACACCACCTTTAGGATCCAAAGCATATTACATAAAATATTCCAACGAAGGGTATTTTTTTATTTAAAAAAATCTTTGTTAACACTTTTCCCGATGAAAATAATCAAAATATTTTCAATATGTCGTTCTTAACAGTGTATATTTACATATAAAATGAGAGAGTTGAACAATTTGGTGTATTTTGAATGAATAATTTCACTTCTGCATTTTTTTTAAATTCTAAAATAAATCTTTAAATATTGCCAATAGTTTTGACTTTGATTTGAATTTATCTCGAAATTTTCTATATCATGTTTACAAATTATAACTACAGATCTTGTAATTCGGATTCTGGGGTTTCTCCTGTTTGTATGTCAACTTCCTCTGACCGTCAGAAGGCAGCCTCTGATCTTTTTAAACGATTGACTGAAGTAACAGGAAACGGTCCGCTAGATAGGGCGACACTTAGAGACAAAGTCAACAAATGTCTGGTGTCACTCTGTGGGGGCTGCATTGGAAAAGGTAACTTTCCATGTTTGTATTTTTAAAGGGCCAAATAGTTGGCGGCGTGCCGCAGTGGTTAGAGCGTCTGTTCTAGAGTCGAAAAGTAAGGAGTTGATCCTTACGTCGCGTGGAGACCGGTCCTTCGGATGAGACCTGTAATCCGAGGTCCCGTGTCGCAGTAGGTGCTGGCACGGAAAAGATTCCTTCCTGCTGTGAGTGCCGAGTTTAGGACAAAATTTGCAGCTCTCCATCGGCAAGTCGTGGCGTCTCCATATGAGTGAAAAAATTCTCGCGAGCGACGTTAAATAACAGACAGTCAATCAATCAAAGAGCCAAATAGCCATTAAGTGGTCCTTACTCTTTAGACCTTTACTCGGCCAAAAGTCAATTGAGTGGCGAGGTTATTGTCAATGTCTTCTGTGACAGTGGGTCTTGTTTTAAATGTTCCACTTGAATAAACCACGGCTTTTAATTAAAATTACCAAAACGTAGGAACTCTTTAAAAAAATTTGGATGAACTTACTGGTTTTGTGATTCAAGCGGATTTTGTCAGCAATAAATTTCTTTGCATTATAAAATATTTTCGCTGCAAACAACGAAATTAAAAGATTTAATTTAAGGTCAATCTTACGTTTATTTCCTGACAAAACTTTTTGAATGTTAAAATAAAAATTTGTTTCTGTTCTCAAGGAAAAATATGGAAGGAAAAGACTATTGCATGTTTTGACCTTATGACCTATTTCTTGGACGGATCCTCAACTCCATTCCCAGACCTTAGAAACACCGGAGCTTTTTACAATACAGAAAACACAAAGTCAGAGGTTCACTCCTTAGCATGTCATAATGGAAGTGCATGCATTGAGAATGTCCAGCTTCATTCTTTCCTCCGTAAGTCGATTTAGAATGTTCAAGTTAATTGTATTCAATTCTAATTGCATCAGAAAATCATTCATGTAAATGATAAATACAACATGAAGATCCGCTTAAAGTTTTGTTTAGATGTTTTTTTTTCATCGTTATTTCTGCTTGTTTATGTTTTTCGAACTCACCTGAGCTTTTCTGATTGAAGGACGTCCAATGTCTTATTTTTTATAAAATCTGCCATATTTCTGGACAGTTTTTTTCAATTTTTGACTTCTTCTTAAAAATCACTGGGCACTGAGCCATTTTCACAAAGTTAAATTGGCACATGACATGTTGGGGTGAAAGGAATTCAACAATGTTCAAATAGAATACCATTCTTCCAAGGGTAGTTATAATTAAGATTTATAAAAATCCTATTTGGATCAGATGGGCCAGAAAAAAAAATTATCTAAAAAATTAACTTTAAAAAAATTGTTGAACTCAAGAATCAACCCGAAGGGTTGGACGGGGCTACAATAGAAGTTAAGATAAACGCTTTAAAAGGGAATACGGGTATATAGGGAAACACTTTTCAAAATTTTCCCAGTCTAACTAATTAAAAGACATACGAGGGCATGTTGATATGAAAGCATTGAAAAAATCTACATAAATTAAGAATATTTGCATTTTTGTTAATCTCGTTTTAGAGGAAACATTGACGACTAAGTACAAACCAAAATCTTCAGAGACGAACGAGGAATTGTTGTACGATCCTGCAGACAACCCGTGTCCTTTACTTGATATTTTAGAACAGGAAATGGCAATGAGAGTATCCGGAAATGTGTCCGTTTATATCGAAAGCAATGGAGATGTTTCAAAACTAAATCATATATTTAAGGTAAATATAAACTCTTATAAAAACTCTCTCAAAATAAAAATGTCTATAATAAAAGGAAACTTTATAAACAATTTGGTGTGTGTATGGAACATTCTTATGAAGAAACTAGTTTCTTATTTTCTGTATCTTAACAATTAGATGTTACGGTCATGTAATGGACTCTAATTTTATTTTCTGTTGTATTTTAGATACTTATGGTATATAACACAAAGGTCTCAAACGTCCATTTCCATCTGACAAAATCAGTGAGGGAAAATCAGGCTATGGCAGCTGTTCAACGAAAAATTGAGCGATGGGCGTTTTCCATGTGTCCAGATAGAACACGTGTTGTAGTTACGCCGTACACTGTCCAGAAAATAGACCATCAGAGACACAAACGAAGTATTGATAGAAGCAAAGACAGGAATGTAGTGAAACAACTGAGAAATAACTGGGAGTTGGAGTGGTTAGCAAAAACGTGACAGGCGTTTTGAAAATTTTGATTTAAATAATTTCCTTTTTATTAATCTTTCGTAGTTCTTTATTCAAGCTAAGAACATTTAACTGTTGAAATTTAGCATCTGAACTTTTTAAAGTTAGCACGTGGACTTTCATTATATTTATATTTGTTGATTTGTTATATACAATACAAAGTCGTTTATTTTTTTTTATTGTAAAATGCAAAGTTTGATTACATCTACAGCCGGATGAAAAATAATATAACGTAAATTGAAGGTTAATCTGCAAACTAGTTTTATGAAAAAGTACAATTAATTCAAGATGAATGGCATAAGAAAAACTTATTAATATATTAATGAAATTATTATTTTTTTTTACCATGAAATCGTT